CACAACTACTGTTATTGGCATTTCCAATAAAATGTCCAAACGAATGTGACAAGAGAGCCAAATAGCAGTTTTTAAAACACAAACTTCCACACAAAGGCCCCTGCCACACGCAGGGGAAAAGGCGCTTGAAGGCGCGGCTTTTTGAAGCCGCGCCAATGTTGACACGGCGCGGCGGGATCCCCCGGATCCCCCGGCCGCGCCGCCTTTTCTCCCCGGCGCGAACAAACACCGGGGAGAAAACACGCCCTACCCGGGGGCCGGCCGAACTGCGCATGTCCGGGCATGCGCAGTTCGGATCCGGGCGGGGGTTGAGCCGGCGCAGGGAAGCGGTGGCGATCAAACGCCCCGGTTGCCGCGCCGCTTCCCTTTAAACCACCTAGATAGGTGGTTCAGTTTGCGCCGGCTCATCCCGGGAAAGGGACAGTTTGGGTACGGAAGCCGGACGCTTCCCAGATGTTGTGGTGTGATCGCGCCGGTTTGATCCGGCCCCAAACTGTCCTGCTCCCGGACCAAATCGGTGAGTGTGAACGGGACCAAAGTACAGCAAAAGGTAACCGTGACAGGAAAACAGTGCAGTCAGGTTACAGGATATTTCATCACTCTTCTCCACAAAAATTGCTCAAGACAATTACACAAAATATGAGCCTAAAAATTCAGGAAGACATTTGAAATAAATGTTGTTCGTTCAACGAAAAGCATCCTGCTTGCTTCAAATCTGTTTTATTCATCATTCAGTTAGTTGCTCCCCCTCACACTTCCTACCACATTATTTACAGAAGATCAGTCATTACTTGGGAGAGGGAATGTCCATGGCTGAGTGTTAGAGCCACATAGCTTGTGTACAGAAGACCCCAGATTCAAATCTTGGCATCTCCAGTAAACAACAGCCTAAGGTGGTTGATGCTACAACAGGTTCTGCTTTACCTGAGAACCTGGAGAGCCATTGTCAGAACACGTTGTACTGAACTAGGTGGCCCAACTGTTCAACTTGGTGTAAGGCAGCTTCACAATGTGAAGAGCTGATGACAGTGGTCTGTCCTAGGGGGGAACCTAGAACTCCTCAGAGTTTATAATTTGGGGATGCACCCCAGTCATAACACCTGACTGGCAGGGTAGCATGACTCTCTGCTTCCTGCCCCCCTGATCTCTTTAAAACTTAAGAGAACTCTGGCCTTAGCATTTCTCTGTTTCCTCTGTTATCAGCTGAAAGCATAAAATAGATTAAAGCCGAATTCTGCAACAGTGCCTGCATGCCCTGTCTGATAAGTTGCAATAGGAAGCATATATCCGGTGCTAGGAGATTACTATCCAAGCACTACAAATGAGTCTGTCATGGAGGCCCAAGACAAGCTATGCTAACATTCCTTTGTGGCGGCTGGTGTTTCTTAAGTGGGCTCTGGTTCTTAGGAGATTGTTGATAGCTCTGTTCTTGAATGAGACTGAGAGAAAAAGGCATTCAGAGATGGTCATGTAATTTGGCGGATGATGAAGCAGTTTGGGGTGCAGGGTCTCTCACTGGGGATCGGAGGTGGTGGAGCCAATCTGTTTGTAGAGTCAGCCTCTTTTTCTCCACCTGTGCTTTACTACAACAGTGAAGTGTATTAGAGTATTGGACTAGGATCTGGGAGACCCAGGTTTGAATCCCCACTCTGCCATGGAAACTTGCTGGGCGACCTCGGGCCATTCACTGACTCTCAGCCTAACTTACCACACAGGGTGGTTGTTGTGAGGATAAAATGGAGAACAATGTGGTAAACTGCTTTGGATCCTTATTGGGGAAGAAATATCTACATAAATAAAACACATAAGATAAAGAGATCTCAAGACTCCTGGGAATCTCTCATCTAAAAGAAAGCAGAATGTGGTAATATTATTGCCAGAACATCCAGCCACTCAGGGAAGTGTGGTACACATAGCAGTAGGACATTGTCCCCTTGAACTTAAGTAGACTTGTTTCCAAACAAATTTAGTTTGGCCTTGCACATGGATAGCTGGACAAATATTTGTGCAGCCTGCCACCATTTGAAATCACTGCACGGAATTATTTGCAATACATGATTCAAATCATGAACCTGGCTGGAGTCACAATAAGGTATTCATAGAACTCTTGTTTCAGAAAAACACTCAAGTGAATGCTTATTTCTGCCTGTATTCATTCAGCTACTTAATAGACTTGGCTTTATTTGCTTTCCAATTGTCTTTTGAGAGGAAATAAACTCTTGTAAAGGATGTGAGCTTCAGAGTGCTGCCCTGAACAGTACGATAGGCATCCTGTCTGAGTCAAAACATCTGGGAAGGTCTTGTATCCCCTCCCACAAACACTTCATTTTTTGTAGATGACTAAGAAAAATTTACATGCTTTGTTACTATGGGCCACGTAGTTCTCTTTTTGCCCCTCTAAATGATACCATTAGTTATTTGCAAGCAGAACGGAATAATTGTAATACCACTAGGAATAATTGTTCCTGTGGAATATTGATGCGCTTTAGACTTGATGAATATGGAAATACTCTGGATTAGAAAGGCAAAGAGTAAAACCTGTTCTCCTACCAGGCAAGGTAAACAGTGCTTGGAAAAGCTAATTTGTCAGCTGTGGAAATTGAGGAGGACAGCTGTGCAGCATTCTGAGGGCAGAAATGGCTTGGCAGCTGTGTCCAGCTGTTTTGAGCTCTCCAGGAGTACAACAGCTGAGCCAGCAGGTGGCAGCAGCCTCCCCCTATGCCAGGGAGTTCAAACTGGAGCCAGTGAATTTTAGGCTACTGCCTATCACTATTATGGCTGCTAGTTTTGAAATGCTTTTACAGAGCAGTCCTCAGCAGAGTTCGGCTTTCTATTTTATTTTTAACTTTTTATTTTAACTTTTAACAAATAACATACAGAGGGTGGGGAAGTTCCATTAACATTTGTAAGGTATCTTTAAACATGTATTTCAATACAAAGAAATAAACTTTTAAATGTTTGTTTTAAAATATTCAAAATATTCACCACCACCAATATTTGTAGACAAGAAAATAGTATCTGTTATAACCTAATAAAATGAGAAAGAGGTGTATTTCTTTGGAAGTGCATGAAGTCCAGACAAATGTGTTCCACTTTCAACATAGTTAAAAAAGGGAAACCATTTCTCCATATAAGTAGATTGGTTTAAAGGATTTTCGTTAGCAGTGATTTGTGATGATATTTTATCCATCACTGCATAGTCCCATGTTTTCTGAATCCATAGTTTCAGTGAAGGAGTGTTTTTGGATTTCCAGGAATGGGCCAATAAAACTTTGGCTGCCCCTAATAGTAGCTTTTTAAGTCAATAGCTTTTAAAATCAATTGAAGACAGTGAGTTTAGAAAGGTGTAAGTGTGGATAGGATTGCACTGTTACTGTATTTGTTTTATCATTATCTTTTGGGGGTGTTTCATATTTTATTTAATTTTGTTGATTGTATATATAGTATGTTGGATTTTTAAATAATAGAAATGTAGTGTGTGCATTTACTAAAATAATAAATATCCATATTATGTCATCTAGCATTTTTTTTAAAAAAAATGTACATTCACAAAATACAGCTGTATACCTATAGAATTCACTTAGACAGTGGATTAGATTGGGAAAGGGGAGGGAAGGATTATTTCTTCATTTGGTTTTCCAGAAGGTTCTGTGAAAAATGGAGTTGCTTGAATCTTTCTGCCGATTAACATGTTCAGAAATCCGACACAAATGTCTTCATTTGCTGACTCCCCTCTTACATAACATCATCTAAAGTTGTGAGCAACTGCCTTGGTACAAAGCAAAATCTAAAAAGAAAATACTTTGTAATGCCTTTTATTAAGGCCAACAAAAATAACAAAAACTGTGTGTGCAAGCTTGGATGCAAGAACTCAATAGTCCCATTAGGCTTCCCAAGTCCCCCCCGTTCCCTGCCGCCGCCGGATCGGGCCCCAGTGTAACGATATGAGCTTATGTTTGTATTTCTGTATAGTGGTGATGCTGCTTATGTGTGTCTCTAGCATGAATACCTATGCAATATGTATTCAGGGATTGCTGTATGTTGTGTGTTGCTTTGTTCTGCATCTCATGCTTGCCTAGAAATAGGCTGGCCTGGGCCTGCCGTTGCACATACGGACCATGTGCGTCCCTGGAATGTATCCCATGACTCTTTGGGATGGAGAAGACACCGCGCCATTGCACCCACTTGGAGAGCTATGGAAAATCCCCAGCGAACCCCGGCAGCAAAAATCCACTTGGCAACCTTAAGTCCCATGGTTTTTGGTGTTATTTTGGTTGCTCCTAATAAAAGTTTCTCTCCCTCCCCCCTCTCTCTCTTTACCTTCCTACCTACCTACCAAGGTAGATGGCAATTTGTATTGGAAGGACAACAAGAATCACGCACATCTTAATTTGCATCCATGAAAGGAAGGGCAGTTTTTGTCTGTTTTCCCTCTCCTACTGCAGACCTCCAGTTTCTTCCTCATGTTCTCCTCCAGCCATCAGCATTTGGAGATCATTTGGGGCTGCAGTGGGAAGGGAGAGGCGATGTAGTCCAGTTCCACTGATGGGAATCCCTGTGAGATTCAAGCTACTCAAGCTACATGTTATGCAAAGAAAACAGTGGTATTGTATAGCAGTTACAATAAATGAACTCTGATGCTGTTTATTTCCTCGTGTTATTTTACAGACTTTCCTGCCTTAATTCGGAATAGAAATCTACATTAGGGATAGTCACCTGGCATACACAGGCTATAGAAATAGGCAGGTAGTCTAGGGATGTGAGTGACGAAGATTTTACTGATGCTTGTTAAGTCACATGTCATTTTGACCAGCAACAAAACAAGGGGAGAGGGGGAAGTCCCTTTGCTCTTCAGTTCAGGAGATTAGTAGATCCTCTTAACAGTTGAGTTCCAAGCGCAATTGACACTTGTTGCTATTTGTTGTCATCTTTTGAGAAGATCTTGGACAAGTCAAGGGAGAGGTGGCAAGCAAATCTTTCAACAAAGTTTTGTTTTCCAGACCCCAAACAGAAGATGCCTGGGAGTTTGCAAAGCCAAACGCAATCCAAGCCATTGGGGTGATGTCATTTGGTAAGCATACGCTCAACAACATTTCTCCTAAATCTGCAGTGCATGAAAATATGTCAAGATTCCTTTTTCCACCATTCTGATCCCTCAGCTTCTGAGGGCTCACAGTGTGGGATTTAACTCATGTGTATGCTGACACAATTCAAGATGGGTTTTCAGTGTGTAAGAAAAAATATTTGATGACATTTGCATTTTAGTTTGGGCAGTGGATGAGTCTGTAGTTTCTCCACAGACCTGACTTTCTAATTTCCAGGGTTCTTGAAGCTACGTCCTCATGGGGCATTTGTTCAGTAGGTTTGAGTTGCATGTGATTTTACAATATTTATCTAGTGAGAAGGAAATGCCACATCATGCACAAGGCCTTCTATCAGTACATGAGGAGATAGGTTGCCAGAATCTCTTCAGGATAATTTAAAAACATCAGGGATTGGCACCAGGGAGGCCTGTCTTCGAATTCCCATTCAGCCACAAAGGCCACTGGGGGATAGGGTTCCCATTTACCCACTTATGGCAGGAGATCTCTCACCCCCTGCCACCACTGCCTGCCGCCATTCACCCGGGCAGTGGGAAGAAACTGGCTGGCCAAATGGGGAGGCATGATTGTCATCCCCGTGCAATGACGCATCTTCTGGTGCTACCTGAAAGTGACTCTGTCACTCTAGTTTTTGGATGAGTGCTAGAACATTGCTGCCAGCACTATGATGTCACTCCAGGGTTGCACTGAATGTTGCGTCATCGTGCAGGGACAGTGATTGCACCCTCCCAGTGACCCCCCGCCTCTCCCCATCTCCCAGCAACCCCACTGGATAACCTTGCATCGATCTCAACCTCTCAGCCTAAACTACGTCTCAGGGTTCCTGTGTGGATGAGACAGAGGAGAAGAGAACCATTTATGCCACCCTAAGCTCCTTGGATGATGGGCAAGATAAAAATGTGTGAACTGGTTTAGTTGAGAGTTCAGCGTGATGTAGTGCTTAAAGCAGAGTGGTCAAACTCATTTGTTACAAGGGCCGGATCTGACATAAATGTCACTTTGTCAGGCTGGGCCATGTGTGCCATAAAATGTAACACAAGGTACTGGAGATATAAATTTTATAAAGATTTCAGATGCCAAATGGTAATAGCAGGCTTGATTGAATTAAGTGTGATAGGCAGAGGGATAGTAGGCTACTGTACTCTTACTCTTTCTATTGCTATTAGAAACCACAACATTCAAAAATGAGTGGAGGAACATTTTAACCTTCAAGGACATTCAGTTGCTGACCTAAGAGTAGTGGTTCTCTTACAAAGGAATTTCAAAGGGAAATTAGAAAGAAAGACCGCTGAATTGCAACTGATTATGAACCTCAAGACAATGCATCTTCTTGGACTGAATTGAGACCTAGGTTTCTTCTCTTGTTACCAATGCCTGCTATTGTTATTTGGCATCTGAAATCACTTCACTCTTCAAGATAAATAGACAGATGGACTCACATTCTAGTTGCATCTGAAGAAGTGAGCAGTGACTCATGAAAACTCATGCCCTGCCACAAATTTTGTTAGTTGTTAAGGTGTGTAATGAGTTCATGTTTTGGTTTGTGTGTTTCTTTAAATGTTTAGTGTGACTGCAGTAATGTAAGGAGAGTGATAGAGGGAGATAAGTGTGATGTGATTGGCTGATGACTGAGAGTGTGGGAGGAAAGATGTCTCGAAGGTGATTCTGTGTTCTTGAAGAGATGAGTGTGGAGAGGTTTTGTGAGAGTCTGTATGACAGAGGAAGCAGTTGGAGTTTAGTTAGCCTGTGTGGCTATATATGCGCAAGAGAGTTAAGCCTGTGTGGCTATATGAGGAAATGAGTTCAGCCTTTGTGGCAATATGAGAAAGATGGGTCACTCTACACGGGATCATATCCAGCCTGTGCTGAGGACGCTGCACTGGCTGCCTATAGCGTACCGGGTTCGGTTCAAGGTGCTGGTTCTAACCTTTAAAGCTCTATATGGTCAGGGGCCTGCCTACTTGAGGGACCACCTTTCCCCATACATGCCCCAGAGAGCACTGAGATCAGGGTCACAACATTGCCTTACTCTCCCTGGTCCGAAAGAAGCCAGACTGACTATTACCAGAGCCAGGGCTTTCTCAGTGGCGGCCTCACACTGGTGGAATGAGCTCCTGGAGGACATTAGGGCCCTGCGGGACCTTTTACAGTTCCACAAGGCCTGTAAAATGGAGCTCTTCCACCAGGCTTTCGATTAGGAGCTGCCACTGACGAATGTGCCCTGGAACTTCTTTTTGCCTGGGACCCTGTTGGATGCTGTTTCTACCATTGGGCTGATTTGGAATACTGCCATCATCTGACCCTGTTTGATGCTGTCTTTATCATTGGGTTGATTTGGAATACCGCCATCATTAGTTTGTCTTTTTAATCTGTTAACTGATGTTGTTTAATTTTGTATTGTATTTTTAACTATTTTAACTGTATTGTTCTATGATATTTTAATCTTGTTAGCCGCCTTGAGCCAGCGTGTCTGACAAGGTGGGATACAAGTAGAAACAATAAATAATAATAATAAATAAATAAAGAGAGTTTAGACTGAGTGTCTAAACCTGTCAGAGTTGAGTTTTGGTGTATGAGAGACTGTGTGTGATGCCAAACTTTGTCAGTTATATTTTCTTTCTTCAACAACAGTTTAAAAATACCCAGAAATCTATTTTGTTCTTTTATAAATAAATCATTATTTGTTTAAACTTATCCCAGAAATCAGAACAGTCCTTCCTCAGAGCCACATAGTCCTCTGAAAAGCCCAGACACTAGGTCATTCTACAAAATAGAGAGATTAGGAATTTTTAATTCCTGGTGGCAGCAGAAATCTACCAAGTTCATGTACAAAGAGTGTGTTTTAAAGGAGAAACAGTCTCCCCAATAAGCAGGACACCACAAGGTGCTACCGGACTCTTGTTTCCTTCCACTAATAAAGATTGCAAGCTGTGCTGTTAGGTTTCTTTCTGCCCCCCATCTGTTAGAAGTGGAAAGGGGGATCTCTCTCTCTCTCTCTCTCTTGCTCTTTCACTCCCCCCTCCCTCTAAAGATGTGTGCTTGCACATGAATGCTTATACTTGGAATAAAACTTTGTTGGTCTTAATGGTGCCATGGGACTCTCTCTCTCTCTCTCTCTCTCTCTCTCTCTCTCTCTCTCTCCCTCTTCCTCCCCCCCCCCCCCCTCTCTGCTTCTCTCCTCCCCCCTCCCCGAAGGAGGAGGAGCACTCAGCCAATCGAGGGAAGGGAGGCTTGGCTTTCTTTCTCTTCTTTGCAAAGCAGGAAGCAGGAGAGGAGAGAGCTGGGCAAAAGCGAGTTGCAAAGCAGGAAGCAGAGGAGAGCCAGTTGCTCGTGGGCCAGATAGGACCCCTGCAGTGCCCAGTTCTGGCCTGCAGGCTGTATGTTTGACACCCCTGGGTTAGTGTGTCAGACTAGGATCTGTGGGACTGATGTGTCAAGGAAGCTTGGACCACTCACCTACTCTCAGCCTACTTTGCATCACAGGGTTGCTGTGAGGATAAAATGCAGACAGGGAGAATGTTGTAAACTGCTTTGGGCCCCCACTGTTTCTAGAGATTGCCATCTCTTATTTTATTCTGCCATACACTAAAGGGAGTAGTTAGGTGACATAGTTAGATGGATGTGAAGGGTAGCAATAAATTCTTTTTGAGGAAAAAAGATCATGCAGTGAAGGCTGAGAGTCACATGAAAGAAATAGCATTAAATAGCCATCTTGAATGGTTTCTTCTTTACTTATGAAAGGTCTGTAAATTAAACACTAGATATTCCAGGAAATATGCATCCACAGCTGTTTCTCCCACCTCTAGTGATATCTAGTAGAACATAGCCATGTCCTGACATCACAGCATTTCATTCTGGCCCCACACACTTCAAGCAGCAGCCAATGATGTGGAGCTGGGGTGGAGAGACATTGGTCACAGTGATATTAGGATATAGGTAACACCTGTTATACATTACAGAAGAAGAAGAAGAGATTGGATTTATACCCCGCCCTTCACTACCCAAAGATGTCTCAGAGCAGCTTACAAACTCCTTTCCCTTCCCCTCCCCTGTGAGCAGTGTTCCTTCTAAGCTGAGTTAGCGTGAGCTAGCTCACAGTTTTTTAGTCTCCGGCTCGCACATTCTTGTCTTCGCTCAGGAAGGATGGCTCCAGAGCAAACTGATTTATGCAGAAGCCAAATCACTCGCTCACAACTTTAATGCCAGTAGCTCACCAAGTAGAATTTTTGCTCACAGGACTCCACAGCTTAGAGGGAACATTGCCTGTGAGGTGGGTGGGGCTGAGAGAGCTCTGACACAAACTGCTCTTTTTCAGGAACAGCTGTGCCAGAGCTTGTGACTGACCCAAGGTCACATCAGCAGGTGCAAGTGGAGGAGTGGGGAATCAAACCCAGTTCTCCCAGATTAGAGTCCGCACACTTAACCACTACACCAAACTGGCTTTTCACAGATGTGGAAAGTGGTGCTAAATGAGGCCTAGTGGTGGATTTGGACCAAGGTTCGAATCTGTTCTCAGCCAGGAAGCTCATTGGATGACTTTAGGCCAGTCATTTTCCTATAGACTGACCTTCCTTGCAGGGTTGTTGTGTGGATGATATGGGAAGGGGGGGGACTGACATATACTACAATGAGCTCCTTGGAGGAAGGGCAGGGTAAAAATGGTTAGGTAGAAGTGTGTGGGTGGTTTTAGTGATAGCCATGGGGTTAGGAATAATACTTCATTTAGCACCAGTTTCCATAATTGGAGCCCATTAAACATGGGGTCAAGTCTTCCACAGTAGCCAGTGGGAGTCAGTGCTGCTTTGGATTATGTCTGTGATTTTCAGCTCTTCACACTGGCATTTCTGCTGCTCTGCAATATATTTGTCCCAGCTTTTATTTTCCTCAAGACGTGTTTGGTGCATGATTAGCATTTAACCCTCATGTCTCTTTTCAGCATTCGTTTGCCACCACAATAGTTTCTTAATTTATGGCTCTCTGAAAGAGCCCACGTTAAGCAACTGGGCTCGCGTGACACACGTGTCTGTTTCCTTTGCTGTGTTCATCAGCTTGGTGTTTGCTGTCTGTGGATATGTGACATTCAGGGGATATACGGAAGGTAAGTTGCTCTGACAAGTGTTATGTTTGTCATTTACTCGGCCCCTTGGGTTCCCACTCCAAACATCCAATTTAGCCCTTTTGTCTTGGATTCCCTTTTCTTGCTAGTAATAGCCTGGGCTGTGTGTAGGGTTTAGTACTGAGTACAGAATTCACAGTGCCATCCTAAGCATTGTTAGTCCTTTGAAGTCAGTGTCCTTACAAGAACGTGACTGAGTTTAGGCTGACACAAGTTACACAAAATAAACTCTGTGACACAGAGAATCCAATTTCCCCCCTTTTTATATAAAAGAGCCAGTTTATAGTTCTTTATGGATACTTAAGAGTCTTTTTCTTTTACTCCATTTGTACTTGAACTCTCTCTCCTGTGGGGACCCAGAGCAGCTTCCATCCCTCGTCTCTCCTCCCTTTTACCTTCACAACAACCCTGTGAAGTAGGTTAGGCTGGGGGAGAGTGACTGGCCCAAGGTCACCCAGCAAGCTTCCATGGCAGAATGGGGATTCAAACCTGGGTCTCCCAGATCCTAGTCTGACACTCTAACCACTACCCAGTGCTTCAGGCCTCAGAAATCATTTGTTTCAGAAATGTATTACCTCTGTAGTAAATTTGGCTTGGAAGGGGAAAATATACTATTAATGCTTATGATCAGATGAAGCAAAGGATAATCTAGAACCGGCCTTTGCCATATGTAACAGCTTTCGTGCTTGTGGGGGATCCGAATGTGCTATCTGTCTCTTAGAAAATTTTGCAGATAGTTGAAAAATAAGCAGCTTGTGCGGACTGCTTTAAGAAAACTAGCTCTTAAGTGGTACTGCATCTCGGGTCTTTTGCTATAGCGACAACACATTAAATTTTTCAGTTTGCCAACTACAAATATCCCCGTGATAGTATTCTACAGTAAAGACAATGTCTTGGTTCCTGTTGATAAAAATCTCCACTGATGGAAGGGTTTCCATCCATGGAGCATGACTTCTCTGCTTCCCCTGCCTTTGCCGCTGCAGCCCAAAATGCCCTTGAAATGCAGGGGACCCCCAGGAGCAGCATGAGGGGAGAGTTGGGTGTCTGCCATGGGGGACAGGAATCAGGGGAAATCGCCCACGCCTGCTTGGAAGTGATCGGCAGGATCCAGCGTGGTGATTCATTCTGCAGCCATATATTTACAAAGGCTCCTGTGGTTAATACATACCTGAAGTCCTCCAGTCCAGCTTTGATCGGGCTGCATAGGAAGCCTGTTTCCCCAGACGTCTGCCTCTACTATGCCTTACGCTATTGTTCTTGTCCTAACAATAACAGCCAAAAAGGAAATCTCTTTGTTTCGACCGTATGTTTTTCTGGTTAAGCTGGCTCACATGCTGGCTTAAAAACAACTGCCAGAAATATTACTACAAAGCTATCCTAGCGTGAAGAATGCAAAATACAGTTTGTCAACAACATCAGATTCTGGAAATGATTTTTTTTTTAAAAAAAAAGCAAAATAGATCTTACCCAGCATGCATAACCAATAGCCATTTCTGAAGAGTGTTTGTGGTTTTATCTCGTTGCAGGACACTTTGAGCCACTAAAATTGAGTTAGCAATGCTTAAATAGTTCTCATGAATGCCTGGATCCGTATTCTGCTTGAAATGCAAGCTGCAGTCCTGTGCACACTTACCTGGGGGTAATCCCTATTGAACACAGTGGGGTTTACCTCTGAGCAATGTTCCCTCTAAGCTGTGGAGTCTTGTGAGCAAAAATCCTACTTTGTGAGCCACTGGCATTACAGATGTGAGCAAGTGATTTGGCTGCTGCATCAATTAGGTTGCTCTGGAGCCATCCTTCCTGAGTGAAGACAAAAATGCGTGAGCCGGAGTCTAAAAAACTGTGAGCTAGCTCACACTAACTCAGCTTAGAGGGAACACTGCCTCTGAGTGACCATGCACAAACTTATACAATTAATCTCTTAGCCATGGGCCAGTTCAGACAATACAGTTCAGATCCTGCATGGCCCCTTCCAACTCTGTGATTCTATCAGCCCTGTGCCTCCGGGTGAACGGGTGGCGGGGATCATGGTAACCCTTCCACCTACCCATTGTGCTGGCCCCACGTCTAGTTTCAGCAGCTTCTGTATGTGTCGCGGCATCATTTGGTTTTTGTTTATTTTTAATTTATTCGACTTTTATCCCTCTCCTGTCCCCACCAGACAGGGTTCAGGGTAACCCTAGGCTTTCCCGCATGCTGTTGAAATTCTACATTTAACCTATGTTAGAGAATAAGCTTGATATTTGCTTTATGAACTATTTATGGCTACACATAATGGACTGTGCACACACACATAGGCTCAGAAAGCTGTACACTTTAGGTCACCTGTTGTGACGCCACACATAGAAGGTGCCTGCACATGCCTTACATGTAAATAAGGTTTCAGCTACACGGTTATACAGCCTGGTGAAGAAGCACAAACCTCCATTATTGCGAGCAATGGAACAACAACCTCAGGAAGAGACAGCCCCCATTGCAAAACTGTTTGTGGTCATGTACTACCCATCGTCTTGCTTTGTTCCTGCATTGGTATTTCCTGCCAAATGGACATTTGGTTATCATAGAGACTGGCCTGCTTCATCAACACTACAATGGGGCATCCTGACGCCTAGGTTTCACACCTGTCCAGATGCCATACTCTGAGTATGGTTTTAGGTTACAATATTGGCTGCCCCTCTTAGGTAACCTCCCCTTTCCCACATGCAACCAATAGGATTGTTTTTGGGACGGACTAACAGGTAGGTGGGTCAAGAGGTTGGCACAGTTACCCCCCATCTCTTGGACCCCCTATAAAAGAGAGGGACCATTCACTTGGCCCTTCCTAGCTAGCAGTCCCCACATCAACACCTATCTGCTTTTACTCCCCTTGAGTCCCACTTGCTATCCCCAACCCTTGCCTCTACTTTGATCTCTTGATCTGCAGTCAAGAGACCCCCACACAGTCCGGCTAGTTCTGGTAGTGTGGATCCTTTATTTTCCATTTCTTCCCCTCCATTCTTCATTGGAACAACCAAGCTGCAAGGCAGATAAGTATCGCCCACCATCACCCCTACCTGCTAATGCAATTGTGCTTATTTCTGACTGTAAATCTTAGAAACGTGATTGAATGTGTGAGTGCTTCAGTATTGTTTGTATGAGATATATTTACTGGTAACCCTTGGTGGGAACAGGACCTTGGTATAAACTGGCAAGAACCCATTTATAAATTGCCAATTGCTGTAAATAAAGCAATTTGGCTAACACCTAGGACTTGAACCACACATGAGGAGCCAACCCACACCATATCGACTGACATGGTGCTCATGGACACCCACCGGCATTGGAGGCAGGGTTGGCGCGCCAAGCATGCTTCACACATTCCCTACCACATATCCCTTTGGTGGATCATCTGAATGGGCTACCCTGTGTCTATGCATGTGAAACTAATCTTCTTGTCCTCCACTTCCCCAGGAGACATATTTGAAAATTATTGCAGAGATGATGACCTTGCTATGTTTGGAAGGTTTTGTTATGGGGTCACTGTCATCCTGACTTTCCCATTAGAATGCTTTGTTACCAGAGAGGTGAGCATTAACGATTTATACCTTAGCTTCCTCCCCGTGGCCCAAAGAGGCTTACAAATAATTCTCTTCCTCTCCATTTTTTCCTGACAACAACCCTGTGAAGTAGGTGAGGCTGAGAGTGTGCGACTGACCCAAGGTCACCCAGCGAGCTTCTGTGGCAGACTGCAGACTTGAACCTGGGTCTCCCAGATCCTGGCCCAACCCTCTTAACTACTACACCACAGTGGCTCTCCGAAAATCCTGATCTCCTTAAATTTGTAAAATCCTAGCACATCACATTTTAATAAATGCAGCAAGTTGGAGTTAAACTTCCCAGCCCTACTAAGTGAATGTTTTCTGCCCTGGTCCATAAGGCTAGCAAGGACTGCGATTTTATTATAATACACAGTGATATTGGGTATGACGGATTCTCTTGTAGAATACAATTTATACCATTTCTGCCACCCTCAGCTACAATACAGTATTACATAAGAACATAAGCCAGTGTTGGATCAGGCCAATGGCCCATCCAGTCCAACATTCTGTCACACAGTGGCCAAAAATAGCAGGTGTCATCAGGAGGACCAACAGTGGGGCCAGATATATCGGGCATAGACCAAGCCCCCCCCCCATTTTGTGTTTCTACCCTAGTTTGAAGCAGTGGTTGCAATTAAAAAAAGTAATCTACATATCTGTAAAAGTTTGAGCTCTGTTTTGGGGCTTTGTTGTTTCATTCCGAAAGAGGCAGTTTTGGGGGGAGTGTCTCCTTAGGAATAAAAAATGCTTCAGTGAGAATTTCAAAAAATTTTCTAGCTGTATGATTTTTTTTGTGACTTGTAAGCAACTTCCCATGTTCATGGCAATTTTTTAAAAAATCTGGGCTAATATGTATTTATACTTATACCCCATTGAGAACCCCAAAGCAGCTCGCAACACTGTTCTCCAGTGTTCCCTCTAAGCTGAGTTAGTGTGAGCTAGCTCACAGTTTTTTAGCCTCCTCACACATTTTTGTCTTCGCTCAGAGAGGATGGCTCCAGAGCAAACTATTATTTTTTTTTGGTAAACAAATTTTATTTTCTTAGGAATTCAACATTTATAATTAAACCATTTCATCCTTTCCATTGTCTACCCCATTCCCATTTCCTCCCCTCCCTCCGGTGGCTTCCTGCAATGCTTCCCCCCCTACTCCACGTTACTTTACATCATCAATTATATCATTTTCTTATCATTACAATCTCAAGATAACATCATTTGACTTAATATTGATCTAAACATATTAAGTTTTGTTTCACATCCCAGTTCTTTTCCAGATATGTTTTAAAGTCACTCCAATTTTTTCCTCCTCCACTCTCCCATACCTTTTCAATTTCATTTTTTTCCTCTCTAAAACCATAATTTCTTTTATCTGATCTAAAAAGATCATAGATTTGCATGTATTTCAGCCATTCATATTCATATTCGATTTCATTCTGCTTTTTCATTACCCATTCTGTTCCCTCTTTTTTAATTAAATCTTTATATGGCAACCAATCCTTGTCTCTATGTCTTGAGTAAGATGTTAACACTTCTACTGGTACAATCCACAATGGTCTTACATCACGGAAATATTTTTTATATCTCATCCATACCACAAACAGTGCTTTTCTTACCACATGGAGCTTAAAAGAGCTATCCATTTTTGTCTTATCATACCACAAATATGCATGCCAACCAAATCTACAATCATGGCCTTCTAACCCCAATAGCTTATCATTGTCTAGTTTCACCCACTGTTCCATCCGGGTTAGACAGACCGCTTCGTAATATAGTCTAAGATTTGGTAGCTGCAATCCTCCTCTTTCATTAGCATCACAGAGAATTTTCATCTTAATTCTCGGTTTCTTGCCTGCCCAAACAAACTTTGATAATTCTTGTTGCCACTTAAGTAGCAAATCCGTCTTGCTAAGTATTGGTATTGTTTGGAACAGGAACATCAAACGTGGTAGGACATTCATTTTTATAACTGATATTCTTCCCATCAATGACAAGTTCATTTTATCCCATTTCTTAAAGTCTTGAGTTAACTTGATCCATAATTTTTCATAATTGTTCTTATATAAGTCTATATTTCTTGCCGTTAACTCAATACCTAAATATTTCATCTTTTTTACTACTTCACATTGTACCAGGTCTTGCAGTTCCACTTGTTTTTGTTTTGTCATATTTTTACAAATAAGCTTCGTTTTGTTCTTGTTCACATAAAATCCGGCCAATTCTCCAAAGTCCTTTATTTTTTGGAATAGTAACGGTAACTAATTTATGCAGCAGCTCGCTTCCAGCTTTAATGCCACTAGCTAACAAAATAGAATTTTTGCTCACAAGACTCTGCAGCTTAGAGGGAACATTAACGTTCTCCCCTCTTTTTTTCTGCACAGCAACCCTGTGAGGAAGGTTAGGCTGTTAGAGTGCCCAAGGTCACCCAGCAGTCTTACCTGGCAGGTTGAGGATTTCAACGGGAATCTCCCAGATTCTACTCTCTCAGAGCCTAGCTAAGAACTACACCAAATGTCCTAGCCTGTTTGCTGTGGATAACAGCTGTGTGTTTGAACGGAGTCATGGCATTTCCGTTGCTAGCTGTATAGAGCTCCAAACTCTTATTTTAGCGGCGGCTGAGAAGCGGGAAGGTAAACTAGCTTAGACTGCATAACTTCAATACAAAATAATAGAGCATTCCATAGTCAGTGGCTTGCAATGTGAATAATGAAAGGGCTACTAAAGTCACTGCCTGTGCAGGCTTCTGTGTGAATGAGCCCTGTTGAAAGACTTGGGACGTGCCTAAATATAGCCAGCAATGAGCTGCCATGCTGAAACACGGGGAATTTACTTGGGAACGTACACCCATACCCCCTCTCTCTGTCCGATACTTCAGACTACACATTGCAAGGACCAGGCTGAAAATCTGAAAATTGCTTTGGCACTCAATAATAATGGTTTCAGAGGCCTGGATAGTTAAGCCCATAGAAACCAGTGGGCTTAATATTCCTTTGGATGGTTGAGTGGATTGATTTCAGGGTGTTTAGATGGATCCTACCACCCCGCCCGGAGTGTGAGCGTGGTGTTTAAAGTCTAACTATAGATCTCTTTCCCAGATGTATGAAAAGACTCCAGGCTTGGCCAAGTCAAAGCTGGGTATTTGCAACCCTGGAATAATCTTTGGAAAAGAAATACTATGAGCAGTTATTAATTGGGGGGGGGGGGCAATTTCACCAAAGTCTCAAGTTGCATTCTCGCCTTCCCTTTCTCTTGCCCTTAACAATGTGGCATTTTCAAGAGATGCCACTCGTTAAAATAAGGTGCCTGCAACAAACAGTGTTGAAGACTCCATTTCTGTTTTAGGTCATGGCCAATGTGTTTTTCAACGGGAAACTCACAACTGCTTGGCACGCCACCTTGACAATTGTAGTGGTGGTTGTGGCTACAAGCATCTCTTTAGCATACGACTGCCTGGGAATCGTTTTGGAGCTGAACGTAAGTGGTCCCAAGTGCTAACCCTAACTACTGAATTGCTTTTTAAAAAAACCCATCGGCTTATAAAGATGGAGTCATGTGACCAAGGAAGGTGATGCGTGCTACCGAGCTAGATGCGGAAGCAAGGAACCGAATTGTCTGAATTTCTCTCCAGTGGGGACCCAAACTGGCTTACATTATTTATTTATTTATTATAATCTCCCTGCCTCCATTTTATACTCACAACAGCCCTGTGAGATAGGTTAGCCTCAGCGTGTGTGTGTGACTGGCCCCAGGTCACTCGAGAAGCTTCCGTGGCAGGGTGGGGGATTTGAACTCGGATTTCCATGATCATAGTCTTGACACTCTGACCACTACACTATGCTGGCTGAAGCAAAGCTGACGCTTCCAGTCTTGTAGTCTCCTCGTTGGCCAAGGATGCAGTTTACATTCAGCTTTTTGATACTCAGATATAGGAATAAACAGAGCTTGGTTACTTACCTTGCCTTATTTCCTATTAAACAACATGAAACTGGAAACCGAGTGTGGTGTAGAAAGGAGCTAAAAAATTCAGCTTAGGAGGCCAGGGCAGGCCAGGCTCAGACACTCTGCTCTGAAGCTTAGTGGCAGTTATGGGCCAGTGATAGTTTCCCTGTGCCAAACGATGCATGATGGTGGAGCCTCGTGGTTTGCCCCTGAAAACCATCTGCAGGGTGGGAGGCAAGTTGGGTCAGGGCCATGGCATTGGAGAAGGGGTGTGTATGTGAACTGTTTTCCCTACATTGTTTCTCCAATTGAAAATGGACACCATGGGGTATTTCCTTAAAAATTCTTACCCTGGTGGAAACCCATATCAACTTATAAAATTACCAGGTTTTGGAATTTCTTTGTTAGTAGGAAAAAAAAATAGGTTTGTGTTTCTCTTGCAGACATAGAGTTTTACTCGTTGCATTTTCCCTCCAGTTCCACTGGCTTGGATGCATTTTGCGTATACTTTACTACAAATGGTGTGCACCCATCAGACTTGCTGCATAATTTCATCCAGCCTTTCTCTTCCTATCTGCAGGGGGTCCTCAGTGCTACTCCGCTGGTCTTCATCCTGCCAGCAGCCTGTTACCTGAAGCTGTCTGAAGAGCGATGGATCCATCCTGATAAGCTTCTCTCTGCACTGATCCTCACTGTAGGTGTGCTGGTGATGATCGTTGGCTTTGTGATGACAGTCCTGCATCCCCAGGAGTGCGGCCATGGAAAAGAAATGCCGTACTGCTTCCCTGGAAACTCTTCCCTCTACAATAACACACCTCCATCTTCTCAGCCAACTCAACAACCCTCAGTTTAAACAAAGCCTTCCAAGCAAGCACAGTCAATTGTAAATGTGGTTTTTAATGAGACCGGTTATCCATTTTTAAAAAATACTTGTTGGTTAGGTCCTCGTATAAAACTCTAGTTTGTGTGCTATCACCCTTTTTAGAACACGAATATTAAAGCTTGGGGATTTTTTGTATACAGAAATGAGTGAAATGGTTCACGGAATGGATTCAGACAACCACCTGGAGCCAGAGGTGAGCCATCATCTGTAGCCTCCCATCATGTGGTTTCATTTATATATTGCCACACCATTTTCCTCCCCAGTGGGAACCACAAGCGGCTTGCAAATCATTCCCCACCCCCATTGTGTCCTCACAACAGCCCTGTTGAGTTAAGTCAGGCTGAGAGGCTCAAGGTCGGCTCAACAGCTTTCATGGCAGAGATGGGATTCAAACCTGGGTCTCCCAGATCCTAAACTTAAATGCCAAACACTACACTGTGCTGCCCACAACCTGGCACTTAGAAAAGCGGGCGACTTCTTACATACAGGACATTCCTATGGACAACCGGGGAAATCAATTTAATATTATTGCATGAAAACAAAACCCATAAAAGACCATTGGTAGTGCCTTTAACATGTTTTGGCTACAGGAAACCAGAGGCGGGGTGCATGCAGTGCAAATATGGAACAAGTGTTGTCATGAGCAGGTGAAAAGGACTCTTGATGGGAAGAGGAAAAACTTCCTAAGCCTGATGAAAACCAGTGCACACATCTGAAACACCTCCGTGTGCACATCAGGAGTGTTGCTGATCTTCTCCCACTAGAGTTGCCAGCAGTGTCGTGACAGTGGGGTGTCTGGCTAAACCAGCCTGGCACTGTTGGCATACCACCCCATGGCTGGTGGCTTGTGGCAGGGTTCATATGGATTCGAGTGCAATCTTATTGAAGGGTCCGTTGGTCACGTCTCTCCCTTCTGCAGAGCAGGCATTGGATACTTACTGACGAGAAGTGCTGGCATCACATAGGCCACACACTGATGTCAGGTTCTTACATTTGGGCTGTCCAGAAACCTGCCACCCCTTGCCCAGCATATATTTAACTTGCAAATGAGCTCCTTATATATAAATGTCCTAGTGGAAGCCAACGGTACCTGATGTGTTTTTCTGCCAGACGTTGTGTAATAGGTTTCAAGGTACGACGTGCTGTTAAAATCTCTGGTGGGAGGTCCTGATACACTTGAATCTGGGTGTCTTGCAGTTTAAGTCCATTATTCATCCTTGCAGCTTCTAAAATAGTTTTCTTTACTTTGATGTCTGTCAGTTCAGCCATTATGTTCGGGATGAGAGTGGGGGAGCCTGGTGGCCAAAGTATTTGAGCTTCAGTTTCATTATCTGGTCTTCCAGGGAACAGTCAGGGTTGATTTCTTTGAGGATTGACTGATTTGATCTCCTTGCAGTCCAAGGGACTCTCAAGAGTCTTCTCCAGCACCATAGTTCAAAAGAATCTATTCTTCGGCGCTCGGCCTTATAGTCCAACTCTCGCAGCCATACATGACTACTGGGAATACCATTGCTTTGACCATGCGGACTTTTGTTGGCAGGGTGATGTCTCTACTTTTTATCATGCTGTTTAGGTTCCATTCATTTTACAAAAGAATAATTCCAAAGAGAATATTAGTGGACAGTAGCCTTGTTCCGCCTCCCTTAGAAAACCAAAGAGATTCTGCAACAGAGAACGGTTCTATATTCTAGTTTATTTAATACAGAAGTAAAAGCTGGCAGCGCTACATGGAGAGAACCCTGTATAGATTCCCAATATTTCTATACAAACCCAGAACAGGAAATCTTGTCTAAAATGCTATAAATACACACACACAAACACACGCACATTTAAATTGGCCTCAAAAAATCAAGCCAAGCTTTAACAGTTTCAGGAAACAACTTCTTATCATGAATTAGAATAATCCACTAAATATAGTGTACAATTATGCTTTGAGTTATTGTTGGTCTAAAGACCAAGAGCCTCACATTCCCCCCCCCCCCCTGAGTGACTCCAGCACTATGATCTTTTTCTGCACCATTTTTAGATTTGTTTCAGATTGAAACAGCCGCCCTCGCTTTCACTGGCAAGGTAATCAGATGAAAGCCCAAGAGGCAGTTTCCTTGTGCCACAAAACGCCATTAAGGAAATATAGAACACATTTGTGTTGCGTTTAATGGGATTTAACTGATGGAAACAAGGGAAGGAAGCCAAGATGGAAGAGCCAGAGCTCAGCAAATGAGCTAGAGATCTTTGGCAGTTCCCGAAATACAAATTAGGAACCTTTATGAGGGATTTTTGGGAAAATTTTAGGTTGAATTGAGATGCTTCTCATTGTAAATAGACTCTCCTTGGGTATATAACTTTTTTTTTTTTTTGCTGTAAGTTTTGAAGGTTTGGCCCAATTAGTATGTTGTATAGGAACTGCTTCCCCAAGGTTTGGTCCAAGGCTGGCTCAGTAACAGTGGAATAAAATATTTCCTTCTGCCACCATTGTTGGACTGGACCATTCCGGAGCATAGGTTCAAAGCCTAGAGGTGCTGCTGGATCCTAGCCTTCAGCTGGAGGCTCTGCTTTCCTCTGTGGCTTGTAGCACCTTTTACGAGCCTTGGCTGCTGTACCGGTTACGGCCTTCCTTGAAAAGTGATCATATCCAAGTTTGATTACTGTAATGCACTTTATGTCTTTGTGAACCAGGGGTCGTTTCGTAGAAAAACAGTGGAACGTATTAGCATAACTAATTAGCATATGCCACACCCCCTGACATCACCGGAAGTGTGTCATAAGGCCACACACCCCGCCCCCAACAGCCGGCGGCGGCCTTGCAGCTCCACTGCCGAGCCCCATGAGGGGCCCGGCGGTGGACCTGCAAGACTGGCGGGAGTGCAAGGAAGCCCCGTGAAGGCCCTCCCTGGCCCCAGGCAGGCAGGGGTGGGGAGAGGCAGGGAGGAAGCAACTTACCCTCCATCTTCTCCTGCCTCCTCCTGGCTGAATGAGGGCCGGAAGCGGGGCGGCCGGAAGCAGGGGGCAGGGCTTCGTCATGTGCCCCCCCGTACCTCACCCGGGGGAACGGCGATCCCCCCCGAAATGACCTCTGTTGTGAACTGTTCAAAAACTTCAGTTGATCCCAAATGCGGCAGTCAGGCCATTGTTGGGTGGCTGCATACAGGGATCATATCACCCCTGTGCTGAAAAATCTTTACTGACTGCCCCTCTGTTTCTGGACACAATTCAAAGTGCTGGTTTCTACCTTTAAGCCCATAAATGGTTTGTGGCTGGAGTCCTCTGAAAGATCTCCTCCACTTGTATTGTCCAGCCTGCCAGTTAAGATCCTCCTCACAAGGCCTGCTGTCTGTGCACCCACCTTTGGCAACCAGAAACTGTTCTCCCCCCTCCCATTGGAATGCTCTTTCCTATGAGGCCTGCAGGGTGCCTGCCTTACTTTCTTTTGTGTGCCAGGCTAAAACATTCCTTTTATCCTAGTCTTTTAACTAGGGTTGCCAGCCTCCAGGTGGGACCTGGAGATCTTCCGCTTTTACAGCTGATTTCCAGCTGACAGAGGTCAGCTCCCCTGGATAAAATGGCTGCTCTGAAGGGTGGTCTCTATGGCATTGGACCATGCTGAGGCCCCTCCCCTCCCCAAACCCCACCCTCTCCTGGATCCACCCCCAAAGTCTCCAGGTATTTTCCAACCCAGACCTGGCAACCCTACTTTTAACTAAGAAGGCTTATCTTTTAAACATTTTATGGTCTGCTTCTGACCCCAAAATTATTTGCCAACTCTGGACTGGGAAATTCCTAGAGAGTCTCAGGAGGGGTGGGGTGAGGGAGCTCAACAGGCTTGTGTTGCTATGGAGTCTACCCAATTGAAGCAGCCATTTTCTCTGAAGGAACTGATCTCTGATGTCTCGAGACCAGTTGAAGTTCTTGAACAGCTCCAGGATCTGCCTGGAGGTTGACAACCCTTTATCTACACCATGTGTATTTTGTGCTCCTGCTATGCCCTGGCTGACATGGGCTTTGCCCGTTAATGGCTTTGTTTTCTCATCTTAATTGTAAGCCACTTCAAGCAGGTCTTCTGGAGATGCAGCATGTACATTTTCTAAACAAATAATACATGCCCAAGTAACTAAGCAGAAGCACATCGTAGAGACTTTAACCAATGGGTTAGCACTCTCAGGTGGACATCAGAGGCTGTGTTGCCAACTTCCAGGTGATGGTTGGAGATGTGAAATTACAACTCATTTTCAGATAACAGAGATCAGTTCCCCTAGCAAAAATGGCTGCTCTGGAAGGTGGACTCTGTGGCATTATATCCCTCAGAGGCCCCTCCCACCCACAAACCCCACCTTCTCTAAGCTCCAACCCCAACATATCCAGGAATTTCCCAACCAAGAGCTGGAAATCCTAAAGCTTTTAGAAGGCTGCCTTTTGAAAGGACCTAATGGGAGAGAACATGGGCGCCATGCCTCCTGTGTTCACATGCATGGTTAGAAGAGCAGCATTCATTGTTGAAGAGACCATTCAGTGTTGGAGAGAATTCCTCCAAAGTGCTTGTTCCTTACTGTGATGGGCAACTCCCACTACTTGCTTTATGTTTCCTGTCCCCAACAATTTTGGCCCACTGCCTATGCTCTCAGTCTGCTTTACCAGTATGGTCATAGCTCTGGCGTTTCCTCCTCCTGTCATATGATTTCCTGTCATGTGCTTGCAACTCAGTGAGTCACATGCTCAGTGGGCTGAAAGGTTGAAGATCACTGGTGCACAGACCAGCAGGGGTGGCCATGGCAACAAACACAGAGAGATTGGAGGAGAATAAAGTGTAAGGTAATGTACATGAAAACCTTAAGCAGATCTTACCTATTTGAGAGCCACTAGTGGAGAGCAACACATGCCCATACTGCATACTGCAAAATTAATATGGGGAAGCAGCTCCCAAACTGCTCTAACATAGTGAATAGAATGAGTCTTCAGAGTAGTAAGACTGGGGT